TCTTTGCTCATTTCTTTGATTGGTAAAAATGAGATCTTGGATTTGGATGGGCACACCCTTGACAGAGCCTTTGGATCATCTTCTCCACCTTGTTGATTAGTTTGATTGATTCTTCATCAAGGTCAGAGGTGGAGGAGGAAGATTGATCATCTTCACTTGAATCTTCATCATCATCATCATCGTCCTCATCTTCTTCTTCATCTTCACTTGAGGAGCTTGAGCTTGAGCTTGTCTCAACTTGTTTGCCCTTCATCTTCTTTTTCTTGCTACATGCGAGAGCTTTGCCTTTGCTCGATGAAGAGGCTTCATCTTGACCCATCTTACGTGACATTTCAAATGCCACTAACTTGTCAATGACTATGCCCGAGGTCATGGTGCTCAAGTTCTCCATGTTGTTAAGGATGGTGATGATGCTTGCATATTTCTTTTGTGGTAGCACGGAGATGATCTTCCTCACGATGTCCGCATCATCTAGCTTTGTTAATTCTATTGAATGGAGCTCATTGATAATTAGATTCAAACGAGAATACATATCATGAACAAACTCATCATCATTCATTGTAAAGGAATCATAATTTTGTTTAGCTAGACAATGTTTTTGCTCACGGACATTAGATGTGCCGTCATGGAGCTCTTGGAGTTTTAACCAAATTTCATGTGCCGTATTTAAAGTGAACACTTGGTTAAACACATCCATGCTAAAAGATTCAAACAAGCAATTCTTAGCTCTAGGATTGAAATATATTTCTTTTCTTCACTCTTTGTGGGTTTATCGGGATTCTTAATGGGTTTCATCCCGTCACGAGTGACTCTCCAAACTCCTAAATCAACCGCCTCAAGGTAGCAAGCCATTCTAGCTTTATAATAGAGGAAGTTAGTGCCGTCAAAGTGCGGAAGCCTAGAGGTATCCATCCCAACCACTCTAAATAGCGTCGGCTCAACGGCGGTTAAGCCAAAGTTAAGCCAAAGGTCCAAATTGAGCCAACCGACTCTGATGCCACTTGTAGGGGACCGTGACGCCTAAGAAGGGGGGTGAATTAGGCAACTTAAAATTCTAACTCTAAACTATGGCCTCTTTTTCTAACCTTAGCAAAACCTATGCAAAAGATAAACTACCTTAAATGTGCAAATACGATTTTGCTAATGTGTTGCTATCTCTACCGCAAAAGGAGTAATACAAACAATGTAAATGCAGAAGCTAAGGAGTAAGGTAGAGATATGCAAACTCCCGTTGATGACTCCGGTATTTTTACCGAGGTATCGACAAGCACGCAAGGTTCCCCCTAGTCCTCGTTGGAGCCTCTCGCAAGGAATCCCTTGCAAGGGTCAAGCTCCCGGTCGGGTAACTCCGTGGATAGCCTTGGGCCTTCCCCACGCGCAAGTGGGTCTCCGACGTGCCTTCCGGCAAGCCTCTCCTGGATGCTCCCTACCGTCTTCACTATCAAGCTTCCGGCCGAAACACCGCGGGCCTTGTTCCCTCTGGTACACGGTGGCGGCCACACCACAACCGTGGTTGGTGTGATCTCGCAAGACTACAAGCCCCTCTGATGTACAACAATGGTGCGCGTAAGCACCGAGTGATAAGAGGTATGCAAACATCACTAAACACTAGGCCTAAACCTAGAGCAAGCACATAAGCGGTTGTCTAATCAACCTAAGCACTTCGTAAAGCACCTACGCTAATCACCTAATGAATCACTAAGCACTATGCAAGTGGAGATCACTAAAATGGTGTATCAACACCCTTGATATGTTTCCTTAGTTCCACTATAATCAAATGGCCAGTTGGGGGGTCTATTTATAAGCCCCACTGAGAAAGTAGCCGTTGGGGACGAAATCCTGCTTTTCTGCTACTGACCGAACTGCTCAAGTCGTCCTGATCGGACGTGTTCGGTCGTCCCGACCGTTGGAGCCGCGATCCACTGATCGGACGCTGCCAGCGTCCGGTCACATGCCACCGGATGCGTCCGGTTGCAATTTCGCTACTCTGGAACCTTTCTGTAATCGATCGGACGCTGCAGTTCTGCGTCCGGGCGATTTGCCGCCAGCGTCCGGTCGCGCTTGTTGCCGAGCCTCTTGATCGGAGCGTCCGATCACTTTCCTCCAGCGTCCGATCACCTCTGTGAGCTCGTTTCTTCGCGATCTCGCGTACGGCTTGGTTCCTATCTTCGTGCTTGGACTTTACTTGATATCTTGGGTCTTCCTCTTGTGCTCCTAGGGTCTTGCTTATGGTGTTGATCATTGGATCATTACGTCGCCTTCGTCCAAGTCACGTCTTGCATCCTATTGAACCACAAAACAATCACTTGCAAATTCATTAGTCCAATTTGGTTGTGTTGGTCATCAAACACCAAAATCCAAAATAAATAGGCCTAGGGTCCATTTTCCTTACAAAGACTACAAAGCAATGGTTGAGACAAAACATAGCATTACTTACTTCGATCTTGTTGGGACATCTAAACTTAGGAACATCACGGTTAGAATCAATGACAGCTGGATCTTCGCATCCTTATTAGAGGGGTGGGGTTCTCGAGCCTTTTCGAGGCCACCACATTCTTATCCTCCTCTTCCATTGGTGAAGGGTTCGGGTGGTGGAACCCAATGCTTGAACCCCACGTGTGAACCCTCGCCCCACACACACACACACACACACACAAACTTAGTAAAAAGAAGGAACTTGAGGTCAACCTTCTCAGGCCCATCGATCAACTGGAAAAAATAGAAAGCCTCACAATCCTACAGTTCATAATACAACCGTGAATAGCTAGCGAGGCCTGAGCGAGATCAGTGGTCAGCCTCGATATTACAATAGACAATAAGACCAAATGAATAACATAAGACCAAACTCACTTACACGATAATCGTTGCAGTAGTAGTAGGTGCACGCAGCAGTATCCTCACGCATAGATTGATCCACCCTAGCTAGCTTGCCACAGTCGCACATAGGCATGGGTAGTTCTGGAGGGACCGGTGCATCTTTGCATGACACGTCATAGTAAAGCTCTTTGGGACGACCCCTCTTTTCCCACTTGTCCCTACACATTGAACAGTCTTTCATCTACGCAAACAATTAAATTGGAACATATATTACTAACAATGCCAATTACAAAGTAGTGCACAAGCTGAGTTCTACAACCTAATCCATGAAACTGCTAGCTCATAATGACAATTTGTATCACTAAACATCGAATCCATATTGCAAAATACATTCAAAAAAACATGGACTCTAATGAAGATAGGGTTCGTGAAATACACACTAGAAGGACCAAATCAACGCATACAAACTAGGGAGGAGAGGGAGGATATCTTGCTCTCGAAGATCTATATATCAAATGCATGTTCCAAAGGTTGAATTAAGAGATCGGAGAAGGTAGGACGGAATGGGGAGAGAGAGGGGGAAGAGGGGACACAACAAATGAGAGTGTGCCTCGGTAGAGACCAGACACAGGATAACAGTTCGACGCTCAACGTCGTGAGCCAGGGCATCAAGCTCGATACCAAGATCTATGGCGCCAAGGCTAGAGCCACATCGCCGCCACACAGATAGACACACCTACACGGGCCTCCAACCTTAGCACCATGGCCCACAATGCCGAGACGTGAAACCTCAGCGCCATGGGTCACAACGCCGACCCTCTAGATTAAAAACAAAAATAAGACGCCCAGAAATCTAAATGTTAATATTTATTTTAAAAAAAGAGCTAAATAATAAAAAAATCGGCGGTGCGAACCATAGTATGAGCCTGGAGCAGGAGCTACCAAAGTTTTTTTTTAGTTGATGAGATTATCAACTCCTCTAGCAGCATCACAGGGAAGGTGAAGAGTAAAGTCCATCTAGACACCTCGTGGACCATGCTGTTTTAGTTATCGGTTTTGTTGGGGGGGATGAACCGGAGATCCAGTGAACTCATTCTTTTTATATATATAGAAAAAAAAAACGAAGGCATCTTCATAGTACTTATATAATAAAGAAAACATTAGTACAACACAGTGCGTGTTAGAGTTCAAACCAAATATGCCAGCCTTGCCGTTTGGTTGCTATTGCATTGCGTTTTGTGTGAGGTAAGCAGCGGTAGAACGAGTTCGTTAGAACCAGTTTTGGCTCGGTTCTGCAAAATAACATGCTCTGCTAACTTGCTGCGAGCCTGTGACGGCATTGACGCCCGGCAGGGGCCTGCTCAAAGTAGAACAGAGATATTGGATGGCTCCATGAGATAGGAAACCAACTTGGCTTTGGTTGATTTGAACAACATTTACTAACGTGCTTGACAACCTGGGAGTACAAGTTCAGTTCTGAAGCCTGAACATCCACTCGGGCGCCTAGCCGTCCATACCATCTCGAACTCGTGAAATCACGGTTGTTCAAGCATCAGAAGTTCAGAACCGAACTTGACTCCCGGCTTTTCAAGCACGTTTGTTAATTTTATCCTTTTCAACCAAAGCCAAGTTTATTCCTTTGTAAAGTTTTGAAGCTTCAATACATGGTTTGTGGCACCAACGTGAAAATTTCACTTAACACTTGATATGATAATTCCCGCTACAATGTAAAACCAAAACTTTATCCCCAAACAGTTATTAAGCACCAATGCTTCACCTTTTGCAAAGGCACCTGTAACTGTAAACCTCTGCCGTTAAACAGTTGAACAGACCAAGGATCTGAAGATCTTACAGCCAGTTATTGAGGCTGTGAAGCTCAGTTTCTGCAGCCAGCACCTTAAGATTGAGCGGCACCGGTAGAAGAGTAGAGAAAAGGCATGTCACTGTGCTCACGCTGTATGCAGTATCCAGGTAGAGGTTTTTTCTACATTTTTATTTTTATAATAAGGGGGTCCAGGTAGTTTAAACATGCACGATGCCTGAAAAGCAGTTCACACATGAAATAAGCGTGCAAGAGTTGTACAACCACATCCCAACCAGGGAGCCCACGATCTGGTAATAAAACAACCTGCTAGAGACTCAGGGAGTAATAGATAGCCATACCTTGCTTGCCCATTTACACCATGGCTTCCACCTTCCTTGCTACAATGAGCCTGGTCATCACTCTCATGATGTCAGCCTCTAGTGCCACTGCTGCCGCACCTTCCACACAGATGGTCAGCAGTGACATTGCCACCACGGAGCAGGAGATGCAGCGGGCGCGCTACTTCACCTTCGTCATGCTCGTCAGGATGGTGCAGGAGAAGATACCACGTAACACCACCTTCCTGATGCCCAGTGACAGGCTGCTGTCCACTGCATCCATCTCTGAGAGCCAGGTGCTGGAGTTCCTATCCAGGCATTCCATCACTGCGCCCCTGATGTTCAACGACCTCATCAGGCTTCCCAATGGAACAGTGGTCCCCACCCGCCACTTGGGTGACACGATCACTGTAACCAACATCAAGCATCAGAAGCTCTACTTCAACGGCATCGAGCTCACAAATCCTGATCTCTGCCACTTAGGGGAGTCATTCAGGTGCCATGGAATAAATGGAGTCATAAGGCCAACAGCAACACGGAGAGTAAAAGCGGCAACTTGCACTCGCTACGCCACTCCAACTTCTGCAGCACCAGAGAAGACTGTGACCGAAAACCAATCCTTGAGCACATCTTCTCTACCATCTCCCAACACAAGTTCTTCCACGATCCCTGCTCACGAACCTGCAGCAGAAAGCCCTCAAAGTTCAGACACTTCTATGTCAAAAACTGGATTGGCTAGTACTACCCTAGTGATAGTATTGATGTCTTCCATTTTTTAAATCTGGGTACAAAGCCAGATTCTTGTTCAATGAATGAGTCTACATTCGAGGAAAATTAGTGCACGGGAGAATTTATCTTTGTTATGATCTAATAACATAAACTTTATAGAAGCCTGATAACTTCACCTCATGCATTATTAATACCATAATAAAACTACCAGCAACAACTTACAAATAACAAACATAAAGAAAAATGAATTGCTACCTGCAAGGCAGACATACTAATGAACTATACTTGCTCATCTAGGACATAATCTAGAACCATTTTCCTGTAATAAACAAATCAAAACAAGATCATAAAGTAAAGTGCCAGGAGCCCAAAAACTTACCAGAATCAGGCGCAAGCTCAGCAAAACAAGTTTAACAAACCATTCCGCTGGCACTTCAGAAATAGATGAATGAAAAAAGAATAACTAATATCAGTATCACTAAGCTGAAAAATAGCAATGTCTTTTAACCAAACTACCTACAGCAGGTGGATTGTTCAAACTTAAAAAATCAAATACCGCCAAGATTCACAATTAAACAGGGCAGAAACAAACCTGGAAACTTCGAAGTGAAATAGAAAATAGACGCAAAAAAGAGGAACTTGCGTACACAAAAAATATATACATATTTATTGGTGCAGAGGTTGATTCTTCGTCTATTTGTTAATTATTATAGAAAGTAACTAGGAACAACTGATAAACAACAATATACATAAACTAGGCAGCAGTGCAAGCCCGGCAAAATGTTCAACCAGACTGAATTCAAAGAAACCAGTCTTTTGCCAGGTATACATAACAATATTAGTCAGCAATACAAATTTGTAAATTTGAGTTTATCCACTATTTCTAACAGATACAGTGAACTGGGTCACAGCCTACATCTTCAGTCACATCTTGACTTCTAAAAGATAAGCCAAGATAGATCTGAAACAGGAAACACCCACACACAAGGTTGGAATCAACATCATCACAACCTGGTAACAATTAACTGCAATAAAGTAAGGAGTTAATACGCATACTACAATTGCGCCTCCCAATAATCTAGTTAGAGCCATGCTATGCAAGCATTGCATGATAGCTCGATTAGTTTCCTTTTTTCTGGATGTCATCGCCAGAATGTTGCAGCTTGTTGTTAAGTCCTGCCTCATCAGTTTTGTGTTGTTTGCCTTCAAGTTTTTCCTACAGAGCAGAAAGCGGAACAGAGATGTCAACATATGTACTTCAGCAGAATAAAATTGAAAAGTTGCAGGCCAACCTTTAGTGAGTTATTCTTTGATAGAAGTTCCTCATACTCTTTTCTGATACGGTTTACTTCATCTCTAAGTGAAGCATTTTCCTGCTTTAAAACATCAGCACGTTGAGCCAACTCCTCACATTCAGCCTGCAAAACTCACGTTTGTTCTCCATCAACTAGCTGACAACATAGTGGTACCCAGTACAGTCAAGTTGAACTAACAATTACCTGTTTACGCAACCTAGATCTGCGTGCAGACTCCCTATTGGACTGCTTTCTTCTTTGCCTTTTGAGTTCACGTTCATCCTGAACCACAAGAAAGTCAACATGAATAGCTTCTCCAATTGCCAGATTGATATATGTTGAATTTGTATCCACAATTTCTCTAGTGTCAATTCAATCTCTAATAAAATTAGCACAAGGCATACACCTCTTACAAAATATATCATGAGAGCAAGATTTAGATAGAAATGATGCAAAAACAAATCAAGAAAATAGCAATTCGTGGTCAAAGACACAACATACACTATATTCTTAAACTGTATACACAGTACTGAAACAAGTACATTGTACCAGAGCTAGTAGAAAATATACTCGTGCGTTTAATTTCAATTTCATCGACCGAATTATTCTAAATAAATATATTTTATAATCACCCCTATTGCAACCGATCAGGCCAGTGGACAGATAATATGGTGTGCACAAAAATGCAAACAGAAATAACGCAATATAGAAGGAAAAGGTGGAGGACACACAGTGCATACAAAGCAGAGTAAAAAGAAGACAAACCTGTATCCATTGCTCTGCTGGGACCACAGCCCCTGGAACTGTTGTTGGGGTCACTTTGCCTTGAATTGCAGGAGCAGAGCTTGCTGTGTTGGCCCAATAGTCCATCCCAATATTTAGGTTTGTAGTTGGACCAGCTACTTGGCCACTTGATGGCATGGGCACGATTGCCATAGCTTGGTTCAATTTTCCCTCAGATGGTGAACGTGATGCACCATTCTGGGAACTTCGAACATCTAATTGAATGCAAATTGGCACAAAAATGATAAAGTTCAGAAAAATCCAAAAGAAGCCAAGTAGATATGTACATACACATACCTCCATCTTGCTCCTGTCCACTTTCCTTGTGATGTGAATCCTGTAAAAAATACTCAACGATGCAAAGGCGCGTTAGGACAATCCCAAGATAATATCAAGTCATAATGAATGCCAAAAATATTTGACCACATGCAATTACATTGTAAACCCAACTGTGACAAGAATGCACAGCAACTCGAAAGGCATGCTAGTGTGGTCCGAAATATTTGGACATCAAACAAAGTATATCCAAGAGGCCAACAACGTCAGGAGGCAGTTCTCATGGATATTGGAAAAGATATTACTCCCACCATTTATATGATCCTTTGACTAAAATCTGGTCAGACTTTTGAAACTTTAACCAATGAGAGCTCTCAAAATATTCAGTTTGGATATACAGAAGTATGGGTAGATTTTTCGGCAGTAACACTTTTGATATCACATAATTTATTAGACATTGTAACTAGTTTAATAGAAAATTTGACGTCAAAGTTATACATCAAAGACTAAAAAAGTCAAAAACATCATATATTTTTTACTGGAGGGAGTATTTTTTTTATATTCTTTCAATGGATTACAAAACAGATTATTGTGTATACATAACGAATACACAACAAAAATGAAGGAGCAATTCAGCAAGACTTACATTATGAGAATTTCCTTCACTCCCTTCACTTGAACTGTCACTGCCACTTTCGCCACTGCAAAGAGAAACAGCAACTCGTTCACTGATACTTACGGAAGGATGCACACAAGAACATATGGTGTTTAAGGTTACAACAAAAATACCTTTGAGAAGTGGCTCCATTAGCCGATGCACCAGAGGTCTTACCATGTTCACTGGGATTCTTTCCAGTAAGCATGTTCAAGCTGCCCAAACTTCCTTTGGATCTCTTTGTTGGACTTTTATCTTTGCCTTCAGAGGGCTTGCCATCAGTATCACCAGCTGCAGCAGTAGTTCCCTACAAAGCCTAGATGCATTAGGCTCCCCCATACTAAGCACAAGAAAGATTAATCTAAAAATATCATGTCTTACAGTAGCATCAGCATTGCCATTTGGAGAAGTAATGGCATAAGGAGTAAATGGATGTGCACCCTGCACAATAGCACAATGACAACCAAGGTCAGCATTGCCATTTGACAAGTACATAGTGAAAACTAAAGCCATGTGTCGAACATACCGGGGGCATAGATGGGTGGGCGTAAACTCCAGGAGGGTACATGACATATGGTGGCGGTGGTGTTCCATATGGTGGAATCATAGGCTGAAAGAAGGTAATGAGAAAAATGTGAACCAAAAAACTTTGTTATTATGTTAACTACCCATTCACTAGCAAAAATCAATTTGTTTGAACCATTCAATTTACCTTTAAAAAATATTAAATATCAGTAGTACTTTTGGTTCAGAACTATATTTTTCAAATAATGTCATGTCACTTTAAGGAAATAAGGAAAAGTTTCATATACAACCCTCGCATTTGCAAATAATAGCAGATGGGTATAAGTATTATTAGTGACAAAAAAACATAGAACTAATATACAAACAGTGCTTTCTATCAGACAGCTAAGTTCAACCACTTGAAGCGCGTACACTTAAACAACCCTCTAACTGATAAAAAACATGAAAAGCAGTCAGCCACTACTATACTGAAAACACAAACAGATGGCTAAAAAGCTTACCTGAGCTCCCCACATGTAAGGATGACCCTGTGGACTTGATGCCACAGGTGAAGGGAAGAACCCATGTGGTGGGATTGGAGGATATGCCTGCAAAAGGACCATGGAACATAATTATTAACAAAAGTCGCATTGGTAGAACAATACTTATGATATTATTAGAAGGATAAAGACTATATGTCCATTCTGATTATCACTGGCAAAATATTGCAATCCAAAATCAGCATGTCTTTGCTTTCCACTATGCTTATAATGTGTTGATTGCTATCATTTTATGGTAGGGACTACAGATTTACTAATTATGGAAACGAAAGTTGCAACTGCTACATACATATTTATTTCCTCCTAGAGTGTGGTTGGGTTAGTTGGGTTGGAGGGGAGGAGGGGAATCACTCTCACCTGGAAGCTGGACCAATCAGGATAAACAGCCGGTGTTGCAGCACCTGAGGTAGCAGGTGGCTGCTGCTCCTGTTACAGGGAAGGACAAATTTTTAGCAAGTAATCTTTTTTTCGCTTAAAAGATAATGCCACAGGCCCAGCATCAAGAACCTGAGGGGCAGATGCCTTGCTTGTCTTAGACGGTGTATCTGCTCCACTGCTTCCCATGGTGAATCACAGAAACAGTGCAGCAACTAGTCCATTGTCTGTAGACAAATGAACCAGCATAAAGCAAAACCTGAATTGGAAAAAAGAGGAGCAAATGTAAGCTAAAATATAGCATGAGATCCCTTGCAAGGAAACCAAATTTAACTGTTCAAGACAAAATATACTACACTTTCAGAAAACAATATCCTAAACCCTTATCATGTTTAGCAGTAAAAGATTAAAGGGCAGATACAAGTGATCCTACTTAACTGTTGTGTATGATACCCTTGGTCCCTATCACTTAAAGCGCAGAATAAACTAACGATAGATCAAATGCAATCCTGTCAATGTTTACTAATGCTCGATTTCATCAATTTTTAGAGTATTTTATCACATCGCCAAACACTATAATACTTGGCACTTGTAATTCTGAC